GGATTCGAATTATCTAATGATAATTATGACAACTGCGTAAAAATTCCGATAAAGATAGGTTCGGAAAAAAGAGATATCATTATTAATTCCTTTATGAATAAAATAGTAAATCTGGAAGAAGTAAAAAATTCTAATATTTCAGCAGTACGTAAAATTTATGATGAGCTTGAGATCTCAATTCCAAATTTAGAAGCAATAAATGTTACATCAGGCTCTTTCGGGCATTTGTTAATGCCTATTTTGCAAAAAATCTTGCCCCACAATCTAATTTTATAATTTAACAGGCAGAGAGATGAAGGCGCCGTTGACATTTCTAAATTCATTTTATTCTTAAAGAAGGAGGTTGAATGTCGTGAATATACTTTACTGGCTAGCGGTAAAATAAAACGTTTACTAATCATTATAATCAGAAAGCTGTAAATAAAAGACACAACAGAATACACCCACGGCTAGTGCATTTAACACTATAGTACAGCAAGAATGCATCTTCTGCGAGAAACATCACGATTCCTTTAAATGCTGTAAAGAGGTAATTGAGAAAATAAATATTCTCAAAGCGCACAAATGATGTTTCAAATGTTTTAAGAAATTTCATTTGAGTCATTTTTGCAGAAATAAAAATGTATGTAGTAAATGTAATGGCAAAAATCATCATGAATCTATCTGAAAGGTAATGAGGAAACATTAAATTTATGTAATTTATCTGAAAATGAATCAATTGTCCTGAGTTCGAAAAAGGAGACTTTAGTGTCAAATGTTAATACTAACACTTTGGTTTCTCAGTGTAATATTTCCATTTCAAAAAATACTTTATTACAACATGTACTAGTTTAGTTTGCAACGAAAACGCAACTAAAGTTGTTCGTATCCTTCTTGATCAAGGTAACGAAAAATCTTTTATTAAAGATATCTTAGCGAGATCTTTAAAATTAGAACCAGTTTGAAATGACAAATTGTCGGGTTTTTTTTTTAACTAAGAAACCAATAGTTCAGAATTATCCTGTGGTCGTGATTGAATTAAGAGATAGAAATCAAAAGAATAAAGTACAATTGGAATGCCTAGTGACTAACACGATATCAACTTGTCTAATAAAGAGTCCCAGACATAACACGCTCGAAAAAATGAAGCACTTAGGTTTGCATTCACCAGATTTAAGTGTAAACAACAATGACGAATAACAACATGTGGGAATATTAATTGGTGTCGACAGATTCTGGGATGTAGTACTTACAAGCCGGAAATGCATAAATAAATATATCCAAGCTGTAAATTCCATTTTGGGATGGCTGTTAGTTGGAAATGAAAAAAATAAACGAAAGGAAGGAAACAAATCGAAGCACTTAGCAGTAATGGTAGGGAATGCCCCGGTGTCAGATGATTTAAGCGTGTTTTGGCAACTCGATTCGATGGGAATAATAAATGAAGGGCAAAATGAATTTAATCAAACTGATAATGATCTAATCAGCCGTTTTGAAAGAGATATACAGCTTAAAAACGGCAATACGAATGTAAACTATTGTGGAAATCTACTACGGAAGAATTAGGAAATAATTTTGATATCACAAAAAGCGGTTTGAATTTTTAAAGCAAAAATTACAAAAAACTCCCCAGATAATATTGCAGAAATATAGGGTAAATATTGAAGATCAGTTAAGGGTAAGTATAGTCGAAGAATGCCCTAATGAAATCACACTTTCACAGTATTATATGACACACCGTGCTGTAATTGACAATTCTGAGACTACTAGTGTCCGTGTAGTTTTCGTTGCTTCTTCGAAGACTGGAAACTCCAAATCCTTAAGCGGATTCCTAGAAATGGGTCTTAATTTGAATCCGAATGTTCTTGATGTGATCCTGAGGTTTCGTGAACCTGAAATAGCATTTTGTGGGGACATAGAAAAGGCATATTTAATGATTAGCATTGCAGAAAAAGATAGGGATTACTTAAGATTTCTTTGGTTCGGGAATGATGAGAAATTATGTGCATGTATCGCGTTCTGTTCGGAACAGCAGTTAGTCCTTTTCTGTTGGCTGCCACAATAAAATAGCACATTAAAGAGTATAAAGGGGGCTATCCGGAGAGTTTTAAAATGCTTAATTCTTCTATTTATGTTAATGACTTATTTTATGGAGGTAAAACTGTAGAAGATGCATACCGATTGTCTGTAGATGCTGTAAATATTTTTCGCAATGCGGGTATGAATTTGAGAAAACTGAAATCAAATTCAGATGAATTAAATACATTATGAATGAATTCGAATATTAAAGGGAAAGATGATTTCAATAAAGAAACAAAATTTTTGGGCACGATTTGGGATCCTAGTAGCGATATAATAAAGAGAAACATGAAACCAGCTCAGGAGTCAATTGGAAATGGTGAAGATGACACAAAAGGACTGATATTGAAAACTGTTGCCAAAATATTTGACCCTATCGGATATTTGCAACCATTTAGAGTTTGGGTTAAGATCATATTACAAGAAATTTGTCTTCTGGGTTAAGATCATATTACAAGAAATTTGTCTTCTGGGTTTAGAGTGAGATGCTGCACTTCCCACCGATATCAAGAAAAGGTGGATAAACTGGTGTGCAGAAATGAAATGTTTAAAAACTCCTGAATTCCCTAGAAAATTATTTCTTAACATTAATTACGTGCAGCTGAGCATTCATATATTTTGTGATGCGACACCTAGAGCTTTTGAAGCAGAAGCATATTTTAGATACACTGATGAAAATAAGGAAATTAAAACCAGTATCATAATGGCAAAAAGTAGAATAGCTCCCCTCAAATCTTTAACCCTCCCCAGATGCGAGCTAATGGCAGCTGTTGTAGCTGCTCGCTTAGCTAAATATTTAAAACACGTCTTGCACATGTTAAACAACAATATCATCTTTTGGAGTGACTCCCAAATAACACTACATTGGATACGGAAATCACCAAATTTGATTCATTGGCAACCGTGTAGCAGAAATCCAGGCAATTTGCAATGCTAACCAGTGGTACCATTGCAGTGCCATTAAAAACCCTGCAGATCTATTATCTCAGGGGGGACGAGCAAAGAGCATCATCTCCAGTCCGTTGTGGCCGAACTGATTAAGTTGGCTTCTCGAGCCTGAAAATTTGGGGCCTAAAAGACCGAGCCTGGAAGCAAATGAGGACAAGATATCCGTAGAAAAGAGAAAGACTCATAATGTCCTACAAGCTGCCATCAACAACAAGGCCCTCCCCAAAGCAAAGTTCTAATTCATTGCTCGATTTAAATCAGTTTAGTAAATTAAGCAAGGTATACCGAACAGCAGCATGGATATATAGGTTCATCAACAATTCTAAGCCTAGATCCGAAAGACTTTGTGGACCATTAACCGCTTCTGAAATAATGAATGCCGAAAAATATTGGATTAAAACCACCCAAATTCAATATTTCGAAAACGAAATCCTCAATTTATCTCAAGGAAAGTCAGTTGACAAAGGTTGAGCTCGATGAACACGGATTTCTATGGTTGAAAGGCATAATACAATTTGCAGACTGTCAGGAATCTGCCAAGCATCCATGGATACTTCCGTCAAAGTGTCGATATGTCAATCTGTTAATTTTCAACACACATGAGAGGATATTTCATTCCGGAGTGGACTCAACTCTGACACATCTTTTTTTTCCCTTCATTTTAATGATTTTGTTAAGAACAAATTATTCATTATGTTTACATAATTTTTTGCCAAAAGATGTGGTTCTTGACATATTCTAGAAATCTTTAACTTGAGCACAATCATTTCATAAAAACTAAAACTCTCTAATTCTGAGAATGTAAAAGATATGCTAAGTATGATAATGTTATGCAAGCTATGTTTCTCTTAAAATAAACAAGCCAAAAAAAAATACTCATAAATTAACAGACTCAACAAAGGGCTCATGCAAGACCCCTAAAGCTCACTAGTGGGAACAATTTGGAAAATAGGCAAATTGTTCGGCTTCATGGATGATAAAGACCTCACAATTGATAAAGTAATAAAAGTTCCTAGTCTGCACATATAGCTAAAGCTTTAGTAACAGAACATAAAAAATGTAAAGACATAGCTACAGATGCTAATAACACAAAAACAAATATTATTTACAAAAGTGAAGCAACTTCTCAAACAAATCATATTATTTAGGTTACTCAACTCATTTCTTATCCCAAAGTATAAAAGTGTACTATTACTAAGAATATTTGTTAAACAAAGCCACTTTTAAGTACACAAAACATTCTATTTTTGACAAAGAAATTCACAAATTTGTAAATTCAAGTATTTTCACCTTCAATTAAATATGCAAAACACAGTCAGTTATAAAAACGGAATTTTTTTTATATCACTTTCAATTCTAATCTATCATACATGGTTCTAATGTAAAGACAAAAATATCTATATTTAAATAGAGTTTATAACTGTCTTAGTGTTTACAGCTGACATTTATTTAAAGAAAAAAAGGTTTATCTAATGCCTGAAAAATAATTTCATATAAACTTAAAAAATAAGAGGGAATCTGAAAAAAAAAAATCTAAACTTTTAAAAAATTCTACAATTTAATTTTTATCTAAATGAAAGAATACTGAAGAAAGTAATTTCTCTCTAGAAAATTTAGAGAGTGACAAGAAAATATATATTTTTCTAGAAAAAACACTATTTCTTACAGGGCAAATGCTCTTAAAATTTATAAATAAGAAAATTACAAACCACATGCAATATTTCGTACAGGGTCAAGCTCTTAAAATTTATAAATAAGCAAATTAAAAACCACATGCAGTATGCTTGAAAAAATTCCAAACTACCTAAATATTTTGGGTATATGCATTACCTTTAAACAATATACATAATATTCTTTTTTAATTATTTAGCATTCATTACTACAAAAGGGTAATTCTGCATGAAACAAAAGAAAGCGTATTTTCCACAACAAAGGCAATAAATCATTAAAAAAAATTGAGTTGCAAATTGATAATGATTTAATAAATAACAAACCTAGTACATTCAGATAAAAATCTCTGAAAGCATAGCCATGAACATTAGAGGCATTGCATTGGTAAACTGCAGTATCTGACTTCTCAAGTCTTTCAATCATCATTACACTTCCTTCAACTTTGCGTCTTGGATTAACCTGCACCTCTAATGAATTAAAGAAAAAAATATTCAAAAAAGGTAAATAAATAAATATTCAATATTTTAGTATACATTTATAACATTTAGATATTTATTGTAAATTTTTTATTTTCTGCAATTCTGTAGTAGAAGTATTTGTCTTATAGTCTTTCAGCCTTTGATACAAAGTGGCTACAGAAAGTTTTAAATTCCTTTCAACTCAAGAATAACTAAGCCATATATTAAACTTTATGTTAAAATTTAAGTTTTAATATGAACCACTGTCAAAAACAGAATAAAAGTAACATTTAAAATAAGACCAACAATTTTTGTTTAAATAAAGACCACATAACATTGAATTTTGGATGCTCAACTTCAAAACTAAAATACAGATAAATAACTTCACTGAACTTCAGTTTTCTTTGAATATAAGGGAATGAAACAGTTTTAAACGTTACAAAATTTTAAAATTTAGTTTTTCTGTACAAGTTCAGTGAACTCATATACGGCATAACAAAAAGAAAAACATAAATGCTTTTAAAATTACAGACATTAAAGCATATATTTACTCAATGGTGTAACTGACTCATTTTATCAGCTTCAAGAATGAAAAATTATTATACACATAAAATTAAGCAAATTTCACTTCTTGCATGTAATATAAAAAATCTTTTCAAAAAACTTCAATATTGAAATAGAAAACAATCCTGAAATACAATCATGAATAGAATTTCATTTTCCAAACAAATAAAATGCAATTTCTAAAAAAACTTTTGCATTTAAAAATATTATCATTATTTCTTAAAATGACATAAATACAATAGATAGTCCAAAATATAGACATTTGATATTCGCAATAATCTAATATCCGAACCATCAGCAAGTTTTTTTTTTTTTTTTTTTTTTTTTTTTTTTTTTTTTTTTTTTTTTTCCTAGCAAAATCCAGGAATGAAGAATATAATACTCAAGATAAAGCAAATGCAGTAGCAGCAATTTTTCTTCTAGACTAACTGAGATCCCTATATGTCACTTCTAAACACCTGCTGGATACGGAAAAACACCATGGCTAACGACAATGCACTGATTGACATACTGACATTAGCCATGAATACTTATGTACCCACAGGCCAAAGAAAAAAGGGTCCTGGGCTGAAGCCATATGCCGGAGTAACAAAATTTAAGACCTGCAGTTATCAGATGAGTGGCCTTGAGCTTTTCAATTTACACTACAAAATGTAGAAAGCACTTAATTTTAATAACTTTGTCAAGGTGAGAGAAGTTGGACTTGAAATATGGGCATTAAGACTTTCATAGGGACAAGTATTGGGAACATATCTACCAAATAACTTGATTGGTTTTTCCAATTTTTACTTATCTACGAAAGCTTCAGCATCATTGTGTGTTAGTTGTTTAGTTAATTAAAATCTTGGATTGAATTGGATTGGATCTGAATCTTCGATTCAATCTTGGATTTACAGAAATTTAGCTCGATTCTTAAAGATAAAGGTCAACATTAAATTCCTTTTTTTTTTTTATTATTTTCCAAAAAGAAAAGACAATTTTGATCAGTCAGAATCATTAGGTATGGGAAGCCATTTGCCCCATTAGGTACAGGAATATATTTATTATAAGTACTTTGTAGTTGATCAGTAGATAGCAACTTCTATATTTTCAGTAGTCACGGGATTTTCTAGAGGTAACAGTGTAAATACAATTGGATGACCATGTATTTTAATGCATTTAGCAATTTTCTTGGTGAAACAAATTCATTGCTAGGCTAAGGAAGTTCTTTTGCCTGACAAATTGTTAAGTTGACTGGGGGTCAGTGTTAGTCCTATCAGAAGTTGGGGAGGTGACAGGAGTCTGGGAAAAGGTTTAGTGTGTTTGTGAATCAGATAGTATTCAGGATGATCCATACAAGATAAAGAAGTGTTGCATCTAAATCCATGGATATGACGCTGGAGAAAGAACAAAGCAAGAAAGTAGCTTTTGATTTGAGCATTTTGGCAACACACAAACAGAAAAAGAAGGAAATGAAGGCAACTTTCCCATTTTTATTTAGAACTTCACCTTGATTCCTGGAAGTTTTAAAAACATAGTAGTTGGGTATACATTGTTAGTCTAAAGGGCTTTGTCAATGAAGGATTATTTTCGTTTTGCGATTTTGCGTGGAAACTTTAAAAGGCTGTATCACTTTTCAAATCGTTGCCACCATATACTAACACCCTGTATTACATTTGAAGAAATTAAATAATGAAGCATCTGCATGTATGTTTGTTTCTTGCATAGCGATAAAACAATGGTACCTAGAGACATCCAATTTTGAATGACATTATAAGGTATTTCTCCCGCCTTCCTAGCGTGCCTTCGTGGTGTAGTGCTTTTGCATGCTGGGCCAGTATTCCAGAGCTCCGTGATTCGATTCCCGGCAAAGGCGGTTGCTAATCTTTCATCTCTCTGGCCTCAAAATAACCTAATGTCTCTACGCTGGTGCCCAAACTAAAAGTGTTGTTGGATGATCATTCTCCGCATCCAGATTTGGCGATTGGATCCCCTAAATACTCCAGTCGCCCTTTAAAAGAAGGAGTATATAAGGAATTTCTCCTGCCTTCATGGTGTAGTGGTTCTACACGCTAGTTCCAGAGGTCTGTAGTTCAATTTCGGGCGAAGGCGGTTGCTAATTTTTCATCTCTCCGGCCTCAAAATAACATAATGTCTCTACAATGTAATCCTGCTGCGAATATGGGAATCTGAATGCCCAAATTTGGAATTTATTATCGATTTCATATTTTGTAAAACTTTAACGAATTTTTGCTTAACAAACTCAATGATTTAAAAACGAGCAATGGCAACACTCTATGGGAGGGAACCTTTTTATCTCCAGCACACGGAACTGTGTATCAGAAATTTTAACGATATGCTCATTTTAAAATTATTTTGTGACATTGCTGTTGAACTGAATTTTATGGTTTAAGTGCAAAGAACATGATAGTTAATAAATAAAGGTAACAGACAAAATGTTAAAAAAATGCAACTTTGGACGTAATTTAAAATCTGAGGCCTTTCAGATTTTTCTTTTTAGTTACTGTTGTTTTGCATTAAAAATATAAATAATCGAATGTCAATATAAAAACAAAAGAAAAACGCTTTTCTTAACGTTTTATGTGTTACCTGTATTTATTAAATAACATGTCCTCCGCACTTAAACCACGTTCAATCTACAACAATATCCCAAAATATTGTTACGTTTTTCTTTTCTGACACCAGTTGCTTTATTATTTTCTTCCTTCACATCTGTATGGGGTGCGTGTGGATTTGGAGTGAAGAACGACGACACTTGAGGAAGTATAAAAACACACTTTATCGGCCAGTATTAATCAGGACAACTCCAAAATCTCGTTTACAGTCGTCGAAATGTTGCTGACACGATCAGCGACACAGCTTTCAGGTTATCAAGCTATCGGTGGAGGCAGCTTCACTGCAAAGCACCAGAGAATACAGCTCCCGACTCTGCTTGGTCGTTCTCGAACTCTACGTACCCTCGAGACTCTCCACGCTACAACTCGCGATACACTCAACGTTACACAAAGCACAGCTCCTGACTCTTCAGTTCAGTCTTTCCCGGAGCTTAACACACTCACTTGACGATGCAGTAACTGCTATACACTAAAATACTCTTCAATGCACTTGACGACCCACTCGGCACTCGCTGGCCGGCTGTCAACTCGATCGTCACTGCATGGACTAACTAGATGAGACACACTAACTGAAAACAGGACCAGCAGGGTTTATATAGCTTTCGGTTCGTGTTTGAGAACATTCTGAGCTAAACCGGTAAGAATTCATTCCAGAGGGTTCTCCATCTGTCCTTGGCATATCGCCATGTGTTGCCAAATGTGCAATTTTACGCCAAATGTGGCAATCCTGCCTTCCCTTGTCATTTTATGGCAACCCTAAAACTGCTTTGTGGGAAAGCTATCTTACCGTGCCTGTACATTTCATAACAATATTTATAAACAGCATATCTTTAGAAACCTGATACACAGTCTCGTGCACTGGAGGTAAAAATGTGCCCCCATACACTGCTGCCATTGCTGGCTTTGAAATCATTGAGTTTGTTAATCAAAAATTCGTTAAAGTTTTACAAAATTTGAAATAGATAATAAAACCAATTCGAAAGTGCCCATGTATGGTTGGAGGATTACGTTATTCAAAATTTGATGGCTCTTAGGTACTGTTGTTTTTTCACAATGCTAAAAACATTCATGCAGATTCACTATTTAGTTTCTTTATTACATCGCGATAATATTTGGTGGCAACAGTTTGAAAAGTGAAACAATGCAGCAAGTAAAATGATGCAACATGCTGTTTTGAGACTAAGGCTGCGTTCAGACAACGGCGTAAAGGGCACAGAGGCATAGTCATAAAATACAGGAGTTACGTTCACACCTGCGAGATGGGGGTTTAAGCTTTGACCAATGAGAGAAGCTGAATTGGCGCATACGTGGATGTGTCTACACCTTTAGTGCGCTGTTTTCCCGTTCAATTGATCTCCCACGTTCGCTCTGATTGTTTTCATTATTTTGTGTCATGGCTTTTTCATCTCACCACAAAGCTTTACTGGCTCAACAGAATGCTCCTTTATCTGCCCTTCTATTAGCCAAGAGGCAACAGAAGAAGGTAAAAAAAGAGAAATGGTCTAAAGATATTTTTTTGGAAGGACCAATACTTGGTTAGCACATATTTCTGTGCAGAGCAGTATGGAATATTTCTGCGCTGCACTGTAATACTCTATATTATAAACATGCATATTTATATATATCAAACTTTCTTTAATTTTTATATGTAATTTCTTTTAGGAGAAATACAATATTCTAAATGTGCCTAATTAAAAAAAGTCTTGAGGATAAGCGACAGATAGCCTGTATATAATATTTTTCCATTTTGCAGGTGTGAAAGCAGTTAAGCAAAAAACAGTACTTACCATACATTTTTTTTTTTCAGTCAAAAGGAACATGTTTCTGTGC